ACCATGATGGTTGTGTGCTTGTTAGACCATGATGGTTGTGTGCTTGTTAAACCATGATGGTTGTGTGCTTGTTAGACCATGATGGTTGTGTGCTTGTTAGACCATGATGGTTGTGTGCTCGTTAGACCATTGTGGTTGTGTGCAAATTTAGGACTAGTTTAAACATACCTTTATAAATGGCCTCATTATTCATTTGGTTTGACACCACACCTACTTTTCAATCTATCTTATACAGGAACTCAGTGTAGTGTTATATTTAGCGGCTATCATCATTAAGCGCGTTCGAATAAACGCTAAAAAAGAAAACAGAACAAACTATTAAGTATGTACGTTGAAACACCAACGTTCCTGTTATAAAACTAAAGGGTGTGTCTAAATATGAATTGAAATCTTCGTTGACAATTTCTGATTGTGTTAAATTTTATATTTACACAAAAATATAACAGATGGGGGAGTAATAAAAAGGGTATGGTAGCAATGCGCCTGTATTTCTGAAAGGCTCTTAGTTAAGAAAATTATAAGAACATATTTGATAGTAAGCAAGATTAAATTATCTAGAAAAACAGTGATAAGTATTTATATGATAAAAATAACCCGTTAGTTGGAAAAAATATAAATAAATATTTGATAGTAAAGAAGATTAGATTATCAAGATATATCGAGAAAAGTATTTACATGATAAAAATGACCAGCGAAATACATATTAATCATATTTTTATATGTAACTATCAGTTTAGCTAAATGCGCTGTATGTATGAAAACATGGAAGCATTTAAAAAACAAATCATATCTTTTTCAAACGAAGACAAACGTTTTAATATTCAACATACGTCTTTAGATACAAACAAAGCAGTAACTGTGCTGTTGTAATATTATAGCTGCAGGCAGCGGTCTAAATGGAAAGCCAGGGGAGGATTCCGACATAGGCGGGTCAACAGCAATGGAGGTTTTGTTAGTGAACCTATGAGATCAACCACATCGGCATCTCACACGCAGGAAACTGAAATTCTTTATGACATTCCGTGTGATCCTTCCCAATCGTCTGAATCGCCTTTCCGGCGGACACAGCGAGCGTTACGCCAAGAGTCCTTGCGTGAAACACCATATACACACACTCGCCGAGGATCTGACGGATACCGTAGTCTGTCATGGAAACGAGTCCCCAGCGGCTCTAAAAAGGAAAAGGAAGCCAAACCCCGGGAGCGTCAGTTTATTCAGCCTGAGATCCGATCGGTATACACCGGACCTGCAACCGAGCGGTTTCATGACGCAAGTTACATGATCCATCAGGTACAGGCCCAATGTCATGACGACCGTCAGGTACCGCGTAGCGAGTACATGGACATCGAGACTACTGCCAGGCAACGAACCCGCCGATTCTCCGACCTGGAGAATGATGATGCCATCCGATTGGCTGACACATACAGTCAACCAGGCCAAACCAGGAGGCCAAGCGACAATGGGGCTGTACTATCGATGGACACCAGTGATTTGTATGCATGTGTAAATAAAGTCATGTCAAATCTCAACGACGATAGGTTCCAGGGAATATCTAACTAATATCCGTTTAACAGAAAATGTCACCAACTCGTGTTGTTTATGATTGTATGGACTCATGAAGTGTCCCATATTGACATGTATCAGTGGTCTATGATGATCTAGAGTTCAAGTGAATTTAGAATTAAACCGTGTCGTTCATAAACCTCGTTGATAACAAACAGTATTGATTCGATGACGTAAATATTTAACCAAATAAGTTAACGGTGGGCGTGGTATATTGCTGGGAAATGCAATATTTAATTTTCAGTTGAGAAACCGTAGACCATTTATCTATGCGGTGAATGGGATATTGTCTTACGTGAGGCATGAATACATCGATGACGATTACAGTACCAGTCAAGAGATGGTCTTTCTGGTGAATGAACACGAACGAGTGATGTATGATTCGACAGGGGACAATCCTGTTACAATGTAATGTAAATATAAAGTCACCTGTAAATATTTAATTGGCATGCTGGTTTGAAGAGCAGTCATCAAACGAGTTTACTAATGAATGACAAAACCTTTTTATATTCTATTTTATTTATCAATGTTTTTAATTTATACATAAAACTATAGATAACGAAATATCAAACAATTGGTTTTAAAGAATTTAATAGTACATGCATGCATACGCTATCATGGGTTAGCTTTACAGACAGTGGTGTTGTAGTTGAATGTTCTCTAGAAGATGAAGAAAAATATTAATATAGGTACACTATGTATTTTTTACTTTGTACATTGTCTATCATATAGACACTTGCAATACATCCAATATTGTTTTTACCTGCGCGGTAATGTGACATGTCTTCTATGATCACATTTATACTATTGCATTACCTATCCTTCATATAATGTGTATCGATATCCAATATAAACTGTAAATAAACCTGTCGGAATGAATTAATTGTATGTGTTCCTATAAGATGAACTACAGTTGACTCACATTTGTTATAATCCGTACGGTATGACTTCATGTATTGCGGGTATTAAAGCTTTAAGACAAAAACTAATTCATTTACTGGTTATAGTGATACTGTACACTTCTCTGGACTTTCACATGTTTCACATGCTTTCCCGTCACCATTGTTTTTATATGCATGTACCACAACACTTTTAACATAATGACTGGAAGGATGTGACAATTATCATATTATTTTAGCCAAAAGTTCAAGCTCATTTATAACGAAGTCCAGATCAGACTCTTGGAGGACCGGGTTTGAGATTGCCACACGGAAAAAGTTTGGCAAGTCGAGTAATGGTTGGTAGGCTAACATCATACTGCCCTTCTCCATCATTGCAGCCTTCAGCTTAGGAGCCACCTGTGATAACAGAATTTCGTTAAACACTTACGATTTACCATGTTCTAACATGTGCTGCATAATATATTATTACCAAATATCATGATAATTTGGGAACAAAGTATGTCTTTGATAACCTATTATAATATAGACATGTGTCTTACGTTTTGTTGTACATTACTCTAGCTTTATATTACCTTATTCAATTGATTGAATACTACACAATTAAATACTTTGTCGTTTACTCACCACTAACTGTATAGTACACAGTATGAGCTTTTATTTTATATATATATATATATATATATATATATATGTGAATTTATGAACAAGTACCTTTCCTAGCTCAACCTGGTATCTATCGGTGTCCTCTTCACACGCTAAACTCTCGGGAATATACCAGAAACACACATTTGGTCCTTGCATCTGTACGAATATAATGAGGAAAAATTGATATTAAAATATGAACTATGAAATTCTGGCTTGAGCTTTGACTGATGACAAATATCTGCCATTGAAAATCAATGTTTGATCAGGGATATTTTACGACTGTTTTCATATCAAACCCTACATTTTTCGTAGCTATCAATAACATATATAGGTGTCGAAAGCACACAGGCCTGATACAAGCCGATGGATGGTCAATCTGAGGTCCGATATGAAAGCAGTCATATCATAACATGAATACCAAATACATTTGATGGTGATTTCTACATTCATTGCAAATATAGCCGATACTGTATACCATGCAACTTTCCCCAAATCAATCTTTCGCTCTTCACCGGTTAAATCCATTTAAGACCCGTGTTAATTGCCCACTCAAAGAAGTACTATGTATATTATGTTGTGTACTTAAGGTCGCTGTCATGATAAAACAGCGGCGGAGATAGTTTCGTATTATGTATTATACTGGCGGGGAATATGGATGGTTAAACGATCATTTGTCACATAAGATTTTTTTGGTGATATTTCAGGCCAATATGTAGTTTTGTTTGACTGACTGTTGATTAAAAGAGTTGCTGATATCAAAGAACAAGATTATTTTTTTCAAATGCGATACATGAAGCTGATGAACATGATGCAAATTTTATCGATTATGTAGAATGAAAGTTCACTCAACATTTAAAAAAAAGTTAAAGCTTATGGAGAACATACTATTTATAGGCTTTTCTGGAATATCAAGTGACATAATTGTGCTTGCCTCGTTATTGACGAGTTTGAAGTTTGGTCTCTCACGTATTCTGTTCAGAAGATACCTGGCGAGCCTGAAGTTTTTGTCAATCTGACTTTCAAATCCCATATCTCCCTGAAAGATGAAAGATTACAATATGGTAATAGATACAGCAAGCCAATTATGAATTACGCTGCAGCACACAGCTGTTCTGCCCCTTTATGCCATATTGGCAATGTTAAGGACCAAAAAGCTGGCTTTCCATATTGGTCTAAACTATTAATTATTAAAACAGAGTGGTTTAACAAATAAGTTAATACAGACTTGTCAGTCTTTATTAAGATTTTCCTGATATTATGTTTGCACATTAAGACGAAATGGGTCGATCTATAAAAGATACTTATATAACCGAAAATGCTCCATAGAACCCAATCACTTGTTGCGAGTAAATTCAGAATGTTTGTAAAAAAATCATAGTAATTGTTTCTAACCTTAGCCCTCCACATCAGCCAGAGCTTAAACACGTCATTATGACGTCCACATTGTATAGCCTTATCACCGGTGTCATACGTGACGTCATAATGCTTATCATTCTGATATAGGTAGGAAGCGCCCAGTGCGTTCACGTCATGCAGGATACCCTTAAATGTAAGAGCAGTAAGAGGTTACGTAGTAAACTCACCAACCACAGCTTGAACTGAACTAATACTATTTCTAATAACGAACTATAGAAGCATGTACTAAGACCTAAATGAACGAACAGTACACATAATACATACTAGTATGATGTTATAAAAGTGAAAGAGATGATTACATTAATGTGATTTACAATAATAATAAAAGCTTACCTACACAATATGTTTACTGGGTTTTTACAATCGTGATGGCATCAAACGCAACGCGTTAAGCGCGTCTATACAGTGATACGTGAGGCGTTACACACAAATTATACCTTCTGACGGAGAAGGATCGCTGAACACTGGAGAGGTGCTCCCATCATCTTGTGCGGATTCCATGTCATAGAGTTAGCACTGGTAAATGTAAAAGACATAGCGTTACCATTCTACTCATACCATAACTGATAAATAATTATGTTAAAATTTTAGTATTGATTTTTCTTTTTAAATCAACAATATTAATGTTTGTATCACGATACACATGGACCAAACGATATCAGAGACCACGCCGAATTCGATGACAACGTGTTTTTTATGTAAGAACAAATAAAGCGCTTCTAGGAAATGGCACGTAAGCCTAAGAAGTTCATACCAGCTCGAGGAATTAATATTAAACTATTTACATACAGTCCTTACGAAATTATCAGCATGTCTAACTAATGTCCAATGGGCGATGGAAATATATTAGCTGCACAATTGATAAATAAATAAATGAGATATAGATCTGTAAATATGTTAGTCGGTAGTGGTAGTAATTCTAAACGAATTTCCAAAAGAAGAATGAATTATTGCACTACCAAAATAGGAATTAAAAAGCAACTCGAGGGGCTTTTCAGCACTGGTACTCTTACCTCGAAATGCCAGCTAACAAGTGTCGATGTCTCTCAGAAAGCAATACGGATCCTCCCCAAGCACCCTGTCAATACATGTATTTGACTTAAATGCAGTAATCCGAAGACATTTTTGCACACTGCTCAAAGCATTCAAATATAGAATAATTGACATATTCAACTGTTATGTATTCTGATATTCCTTTAGGAATATTTAATGAATAAAAGATATTGCATTGGACAAAACTAAACGAATTATAAAAGCTTACATCGACATGAAGCCAGATATTGTGGGTCTTGCATATGGTGGCGATGTCAATAATAGGGTCAAATGCACCAAACACAGTGGTACCACACGTGGCGTTAACCATGAGAGGTACTTCACCTTTAGCCAGAGCAAGATCAATCCTCCTCATAAGGTCCTCAGGGAGCATGCGCCCACTGCAAAACAGTATGTTGATGTTTAAACTACGTGAATATGACATCCATGTACAAATATGTAAACAATCTCATGTTACTTTGATAGTGGAAATTTCGACTTACTATGACATTGAACAAGCCATATGACTATTATGAGATGTCACTATCATTGTCAGTTTGTTTAACACTATCTTCTGAGGTTGTAAACTGCAGGATGACTTATGAATGGAACAGACGTATATGAGTTACATGCAATATTTTCAGTTTTAAGTCAACAGAATTTATCCAAATCATTGAGAAAATGTGTAACTTGATTAGTTTTTTCAACGGAATAAGGAACGTGGCTTGAACAGAAATGGTTTCACTGATTCCAACGGTAAGTCGAAGTGTAACAAAAATAATTTTATTAAACCAGGTAATTAATATGGCAAACAAGTTTTATTAACACGATTTGACAATACATCATGCTGAAACATGTAAACAGCTCCAGATAGCACCTTCTAAAGTTAAAGAAGTAGAGTTCTAAAGTGTTGCAAGCACTGTTGCGTATCGTGTTTTTGTTTATAAACGATCTTGACTCGGACGATACGTTGAACGTAGTGTGTAATAAAACTGCAGAGCCAATGTAAATACATTTGAATTCATCACATCTCATCGTACCAAAGATGTCCGCAAAAGAACAGACGACGGACTGGCGAACATGGGCAACACTGTATGGCCATGTATACTGAACAAAAAAAGAAACGCACAATTAAATTATGCAATCAATAGCCTATGATATTTTGGGAAATTTGTACAAAATGTTATATCAATATGAAGGAAGAAGTCTACTCTTTCCAATACTGTAGAAGAAAAGTCTATGTGACGTCACTCGTGTCATCAGTAGTTACTCAAAGTTGGATACCCGCGAAAAACAAAGTGACACTTCAGTACCTGGTGTGGGCATCTTTTGCACGAATCCCTGCACGGATTCTCCTATGCATTGAATTCATGAAAACATCTATTCGCCTTAAGGGAATGTTGTTCCATTTTTGTGCTAATGGTGGGATCAACTGGGCGCGGTTAGTTGGGTTTTTTTTACGTTTTCTAATACGCCTGTCCAGCTCATCCCACAGATGCTCAATGGGAGACATGTCGGAGCTATATGGGGCCATTCCAGAGGCTGAACATTGTTTGCCGTGAGAAAATCACGACAGACTCTGGCCACATGCGGTCGAGCATTGTCTTGCTGGAAAATTAGGTTATGACGTCTGAGAAGTGGAACGACATGTGGTTGGAGGATCTGGTCTCTGTATCGAACGGCATTGCGGTTTGGATCCAGGACCACTAAGGGGGATTACAGAAGCCCCACCGACTATATAGCGTTCAACCTCTCATGCGTCGGCGAAACGCTCATCGCGTTTGCGATATACCCTTTTTCTTCCGTCTGAGTGATGCAGACAGAATCTAGACTAGTCGGTGAACATCACACGCCTCCATCGACGCATCCCTAACCTATTCGGGCCATGTCTGCGCATCCAGTCAAGAGTCACTTGCCGCCTCCGTGGTGTCACAGGTGGCCCGATATAAGGTCGGCGCGCAATGATTCTCTCGGCACGCAAGCGGTTCCTAGCAGTTTGAGGACTAATGGGTCTGCCATGAGTACATTAGGTATGCGACGCAGTCTCTACATCAGTCTTGAATGTGTTGCGCAAGTGCGACAATCGAATCGCCCTGTCTTGTCGTGCGGTCGTTACACGCGGACGACCGCTCCTGGGACGATCGGAAACCAACCCAGTAGCACGGAGACGTGTACTGAGACGGTTAATTGTACACTTTGTGCGTTTCTTTTTTTGTTCAGTATGCTGGGTAAATATAGTTTTTACATGTTTGTTGGAAATTATTGTTTCACAAAGAAAGCCATATACTCAATTGAAAGTATATGCACAAAACATTCGTGAAGTGAAAATATTATTTCGCTCATAGTAACAATCTTGGCCTTAATGTAAACAAATGATTGATGCTGTTTTCATTAAATTAAGGTTGATGGTTCCGATATATAATGTTAAAATTATGGTGAAAGGATAAAGAGAGGCAGTTGGAATGGCACATGGCACTACTCCGCAGTCCTGGCCTGATTTGTATACCGCCCCACCGAGATAAGTATACAGGTATCACAGATATCAGACTAACGGGATGACCAGGATATACAACTTACTTGCAATCACAATCAACATACACGACAGCCTCGGTTCCCAGACCAAGTAAACTGGCAGATTTCTTCATCGAGAAATGACTCTGTTTTACATGAAAGAAACATGATAGTACTTATCGTGTTATACAAATGTTAACGTGATCATAATGAAATTCATTACGTTTTGTTTGTTGATGGCTTTGTATCTTTTATAATTGATACAGCTAAGTGTTTTTACGAGGACAGTAACCACAGAAGCTGGGGCCTTTCAACGCCCGTTTACAGTGTCGTCTTGAAGTGAAATTATTGTAAATTGACACACCCAACCCGATCACAGGAGTTGCGTAGTCAGACATTGCTGACAAGATATAGTAGGTAAGGAAGATGATAGAGATCCCAAGTATTATGATTAGGGCAGCAGAACGTTTTTCTTTGTCCACAAGAAGAGGACGCAAGGGAATCTTAGACAGTTAACCAATGTTTGAGTCTCCACTAACGATCATGGAACGGTACACATCGGGTCGATTCTTATTAAAGTCTAAAATTTTCAAAGAAAACATTTAAAGAGAAAATATACATCAACCCTCTCAATGGACAGCAATAGGTATTTGAAGTTTCATATGTTGCACCACCTCTAACTTACGTGAGATGACGTAAACACAACCATATGTGGCAGGCCGACAAGACCTTTAGTTTTTATATCAGGAAACCTGGTATGACGAGCCGCCAACATGCCATACAGGTTGGAAATAGCTCCCCCTATAAAATAATTTCATCAATTAAAAACAGTCATAAGTGAAGGCGTGACATCCAGTGCTACGGAAAGTGAAAAAAAAGATCTACAACAGCGGACGTTTATCATATTTTTCGCTAACAAATATAATCTAGCGTTTATTGAAACATTCTGGTATAGGATAACTTTGTTGTATTGTGAAAAACGATTAGGCACACACTTTTATCATTTTTTTTCAGCACACAATGTTCCCAAACTGTTCGTACAGAGTATACATTATAAGACCAGGAAGTAGGATGAGGAGATAATAATAACTGTATATTTAACCAGATAAATGTTTGACATTTACGTTTCATGCAACTCGACCGCGGCCGAAAATAAATAACAGCAAGCCAGTGAGAACATACCATTTGAAACATGGAACACAGAGCCATTAAAACACCAAACACTTCCTCACTTGAATATGATAGCCAGTAAACGTGACACCCTTGAAGTTATGCACCAACTATTATCATATAACACTAAATTTCATCGACTTATCGTGTTGTTTAGCTAGTATTAGTATTTTTCCTATATACCTGGTGCAAATATTCCATCGCCATCCTTCCAACCAACAAAGCTGAGCATTTTGCGGAGAAGAACTTCTTCCATTAGTGTGAATACAGGCGCAACTTCGTAGGTGAACCTGTTTTGATATTTCGATGTTATTACATTTCAGATCATCGGAACAACTCAGCTTTTGAGTTATCAATTGAAGACACACTGGCTGTTATTCAGAGTGTTCGTCATATGATATGTACAACACGTATATTTTTCTTTAAACTATTACTTTTGATAACTGTTAGTACAATATAAACGTGGTTGCTTTATATAACAACATTGACCAATTATTGTAAAATGTCAAAAAGAAATACAGATTTCCTGTTCAACTTACATGTTTGTGTTGGCCACTGCAGTGAGCCATTCGCCTGCTATACCAATCATATCCATGCCAGTGGAGAGCTGGTTAAGAAATCTCGGGTGTCCTTTATAAAACGTTGCCCAAATAATATTGAATATGAAATAAACTACTTGTGAAAGTTTAGTTTCCCACGGATATTTGGCTTTTCATTACTGAACGATAGGAAAAGAATAAACACAACGTGAGAACGAAAAGAGGAAACATAAGTACCAAAACATCTTGTAACTGGTGGTACGGATCGGTTTTGGTTCCTGCAGTGTTTTAACAAAGGATTTAAGAATACTTTTTCTGGGATATGGTTTTATGAGATACTTATAACAAAACATAAAGGTATTAAATTAAGGGATTTCTATAATAAAAAAGCTTGTTCAGCTTATTTCTCGCTTCCACCATTGAGATATAAGCGACAAGGACACTACCTGTTCTGATGCAGTATTTGAGTGTTTCTTTACAATCACTCAAAATCTGTTCCAAGTCTCGTCCATTTTCGTCCAGCTCGATACAGTGCCCCATCATCTCTTGAAGCTGATGCGGGTGGTGGAAATCCAGGACCTTGTGGGTGCGACTTTCTGACACAGACACGTGCTGGAGCAGTATGTCCAGCAGTTCGGCGAAGAAACTTCTCTTTAGCTTTGTCTTACCGTCTACTGTCATCATGTCTGAGGACGAAATAAAGTTCAAAGTATGGTTTACAACTAAATATTTCTGATCAAACTGCGAAATATAAATTCAAATCATCTTAACAAGGGATATTGGCACATGAATATTACTTCAGAATAACGGATTGTGAAATTAAGTCGTCACGTTTGCTAAAAACTGACATTTTTATCATACTGGTGTGAAATGTATGTTGTGCCTTTAATAACAGGTTCTAGAAGATAAATGATAGGAAAGTAATATGATTTTTATATCGTATTAATCAGGATAACAAACATTTTTAGAGACCCTTACTCATAAAATTAGCAAACCATAAATTGGTACCTGGTAGCAGTACAAGTTTGGTATTTATTTAAAGCATGTATTGACCAATGCTAGTTAGTCTGAAAATTAACCGACGCGTCATAGCTATATCTATCGATGGTATACATTATAAGACGGTGATGAGATAATTTTTACCATAAACAAATACCGTTTAAAAATGTAAATATGTTCTTATTGATATACATGGGTTGCTGCTTTTTCATTGTACATTAATCGTATCAAACGGATTTTAGTCTACTTATTTGCGCGCGAAGTTTCTACTTCACATTAATTAAAAACAAAATTAAAAATTTGGTTTTCAACTAGCGATGATAACATATGTATAAAATTTCGAATGCTTTATATCGCATACTTACCATGGCTACGTGACTCTTTTGTATGCTCTCCTTATTGCTAAATTGGCTATGTCGTCATCTAAAATTAATCTCTTATGTCTTTAAGTTGATTTTGAAAGAAGATTAAGAAAAGAATATCCAACACGTGGAGTCTATTTTTCCCTACATGCATATTTCCTTTTGTTTCCTAACGCCTTATTTGGTATTTTCCCACATTTGGAAATATATAGGTTCTGTTCCCTGAACGACGAAAACCTAAGTTCAAAACTATTTACCTATTGCTTTCAGCTATAAATTGGTGGAAGTACATGTGTAAGGACGGGTAAGCCCTTTGGCAGTATAATGTGACCAGCTGGAGTCACATGCTTCCGTGTCAAGGTTATGAGATTTCAGTGAGATGGAACTGTAAAGTCGCCCTTTATTGACAACGTCATCCTTGAACATTCATTGACCTAAGCTGATATGAGGATGTTAAAGTTTGAACAAAACAAGCCCAATCATTCCTGATGTATCCGGCATTAAAGTGATATGACATAAGGGTATTCGTAAAACTAAGACTTAAGCATAGTTATGCAATAGAAAGTTACACTAACCAAGAGCAAAACATCCTTCAAACTCCGCCCAATCCGGTGTGACATCAGTGTTAGGACAATACTTAGAGGATAGCAACTTCCCTCCCTCCTCACCAGCTGCGTTGTTCCTTTTCTGATGATGTGAATGGTCCTCTTTGTGCTGTTGGGGGTCGTCTCCCTTGGGATGCTGTGAACTACCTCCCTTGAGGTTTTGTGGTACTGTACTAGACCGCTGGTGGTCTAGAGTAAGTATTCTCTCTAGACTGTCCGAACGACATCTTTCGCGGATCTTCTGGAACAGCTCGAAAGCCATGGTTGTCTACTGATTCTTAATGGGTGTATACTATTTAGTGACGAAAACCTGTTGCAATAAATAGTCTTTGAATTAATTCTGATATTTGTTAATCATGCATTTTTAAATTGTGTTTTTTATAAAAATTATGTTTTTTTTTTATAAATAGTGATCGTATTCTGTCACAGATAACCTTCGCTTAACATAACAAAAAGGGTAACATATGTCATTGATACAAAATCCCGATAAAAAACGACCGAATTGAAAATTGCAAACGTCCATTTGTATAACATATCAAATATATTTAGAAAGAATAGTGTTTGGCGAGAACGATAATTATAAAAAATAACAGGTTTTTCAATATTTCATATTTAGGAATGTTTTATTCATATAAGATACAAGATACTGAATAAAAAAGACTTCGGTATACTAGTATATAAGATATATATTCAAAAGTGACATGCAAATACAATGCAAATCATTACTGCAATATGTGTTGTGAAATATAATGCCCATACTGTTTTTGTATACGGATCATTTTTATTAATGATTATCATTATAGGGAACATCCTGGTTTCATTTGACGTATTGTCATATCTTTGTTTGACATAAAATGTTAAATTTCAATGGTGCAATGAATACATTGCATATTTCCGATAAAAAATGAACCATTGCAAAACAACACGGTGGCCATTTGTTTAATACTTTATGCAATCCTTTACGTACCATTGTGGTATATAACCTGATGAATGAATATATACAAATATGGTAGTTATCGAAAACGACTTGACTTTATGTAAATAGGTTTTTGTAACGATAAAAAGCATAATTATAGATTATAAAAATCATATTGCAAAGCTTTCTGAAAAGAGTAATGACCATATTTAAATACAGTCAATATATTGTTTTACTATTTGAATATGTATATATATATATAATATTACATTAGAAAATTCGATCAGAGTATTTATAAAAATGTATAATGATAAAGTATTATTACAAAAAGTCAGAAGATTAGTTACAATATCTGGTTTGGTTGATCAACATAAACGCCGTTAACAATCCACCATGGCCGCAGGTCATGTTGGTGATTTAATGTGAAAAATGCTACATTTCAAATATTATTTATATATTTAAACCGATGTTTTTTTTAACAATTTTGTATTCAAAACTATTTTCAACATTCTAATTTAGATTTAAATGACATTTTGAAAACTGAAAGCTGCCTGTAAGCTGTAACGACTTACGCTTATTATGACAACAAATTACATTTTCTTATGAACACATTGCGCCACATGCTTGCTGGTTATTGTCATGTTTCGAAAGCAATTGATGAACTGGTGAGTAAATATAAAATATATGTGAGTCTGTGGGTTAAATGCGTCTCCAATGGGCAAGTGACACACATGATATACTTGTTTTGTTACTATAATATGTCTTGCAATGCTTTATTATATCAACAATATCTATGCAATACAAGTTTCTGAGCGGACATACACGTTCAACGGTTATAAGGTCGTAAACGAGTAAAAATTACGACAGGTTTGAAAATCTGTAATAGGAAACTTGTAATATTCTCGTCCACCCTACTGCTTAACAAGTGAAAATATGTGAAGAGTAACTATATCTATCAATGTTACAATAAATTGTATAATATACAGCTAAAGTGGCATTGCATTATTACAACATGTAGCCATTAAACTGTAGCTGTATTAAACAACCAACGCACGAACCATTACAAAGACACCGTCGATAACACATCAAGATAGTACGGTAATCTTGGCAGTAAAATAATTTACTAGTTTGCATTTTTTTCTAATGTATATGAAATTCATAAACATTGAACAGGTCACTCGGCTGATTGCTGCTCAAACTACGAAATGCAAATACAGCTAGGTGTAAATATTGTCAGGTTTGAAATTTGGCATGATTAGTATCTTACATGTATAATGTAATTTACAGATAACCCCTTACATTTCGTGGGATTTATGTTCGCGTTTAATCGCATGTAGAGATCATCACGAATTAAATTTTATCTCGAACATATATTCAGTCACAACAAAAACATACTTTGTATGGAGGTCGTTATTCTTCTTGCGAATTGAAATCCTCACAAACATGTCTTTGAAGAGCAATCATAAACAAAAGTTGTTTCTTGTATTGTTTGTCAGAAATCAAACGAAGGCTTCCTGAGGTTCGGACTCTAAAATCAGCATTCGATGGTAGAATTCCCATATCCTCAAAAGATGCAGTATTTATCTGCTATTTTGACAAAACCCGACACTGACATTGAAAACGCATACACCTTACACGTTAATCGAGTACATTTTAAGAATGAACAGCAATACATTATACCGAAGGTTTATTTGTAAACTAAAAAAACAAGCTTATTTAAGAACATTTTCCCATAGAGCTATGTCAATTACCGACCTTATTTTGACGATGGGTATTCCTCCACTGACCAAATAATTACAAATAAGGGATCGAGAGGATCTCATGTTTAAGAAAGTCACCACTTTTGTTTGGGTTTTTTGTTTTCCGTATGACAACGAGTGCATTTTGGTAGCATGGTTTATTATATAAAATAGTTATTTATCATGTATAAATGTTTACACCTGCATGTAAATATTTTAAACTGAAACAGTTTTTTGTTCATTTCTTAGCTACATGTATGACCGAAAAAATGTAGTTCCCGAACTACATGGCTGTACCACAAGTGACATTTGTATCTTACATACATGTACGTATATAGGAGATGGAAATCCGTGATGTCATAGTGAATTAAATACTTGCTTTCTTTACAACATGTCATCCAGCCGTTTAAAACATATGTAAATTACTTGTACAGTGACGTGATATTAGTCTTTCACGAGACTACATCACCTTTTTTTTCAATAAGTTTTTCTTACTTTGCTTTTCTTCCGATTTTGATAATATGTGGCACAAAACTGGAGAACTAATATGTACGTCTATAAATAATAGTGATACAATTTAATCTGTTCGTGTTATTCAGATATCATTTTTAACCATCAATACAAGGATACTTTTTATGTCATTCCCGAACACACAATGTTACAGTTTGCCGTATAAACTGTTTCGGCCAAAACATTTATTATAACTGAAATTCAATGAAACGGAAAATTATATTCAAAGGAGTCTACATGTGTGTCAAATTACATCAAAAAGAATGAACAGAAAGTCAGGAAAACTTATTTAGTAATGGTAAATTAACCTAGAACCCAACGTAACGCCACTTGGTATCTGTTTCGCATGAATTTCCAACAAACATCGACCAGGAATCCAAGTACATGTACCACGTCAACAATTGTTTACACGAACACAACATCTACGTGAGATGAAAAACTTAAGATATACACGGTGAGTGACACGGAGCCTGAAGTCCTCTGAAATAAGTTTAGACTGGTCAGTTAGCGATATAAGGTGTGCACGGTACGGAAGTAATTAATAATTTTACATGTTTGTCCTAATTTGACATCTACTGAAGTAGATTTGCCTGATCCCAATGTTAACTTTCCGAGTTTCCAGCGGTAATAGATAGCGGCCTTAATCTCATTTACCTGCAGGTGTAAACATTTCATACATAATTAATTACTATGTTTATAATAAATCATGCCAAGAAGATGCACTTGTTGTTATAAGCAAAAATAAAAATCCGAAACAAAATAATGATAGATAATAAATGTGTATGATTAAAAAAAAAAATCACAAATAGCTAGAGTAGTTTTTTGAGGTAATCTTAGTCAAATGTCTTATTTTAAGACCACACTGTCATATACTCGTATGTTTTGAAATGTATATCTCATGCAGATCGAATACTAATCTAAATGTAAACAACAGATAGAAAAAGCATGTTAGTGTCTAGCATATATAGATTTACAACATATAAATGATTGCCAGTTAAGCGGTATCATATATGCATATTATTTATTCGCCAAACTAGTATACAAACACTGTATAAAAGAGGAGTCTACTTACGTCAAAACGAAAGCATCGACCGCAAGTGTATAACCGAGAAGTCTTTGCATAAACAAATGGCAATATGCCTGCTCGTTCGGACGACAAACGCCATGTACCATACGGAAATTAAAAAAAAAGATGTATTCAATTTTGTCCACGCTTAATTATGATCTCGTGTTGCAAATGCAAAGGCCCTGGAGGCATAACTACAGCCTGCATGGTCAGACGAATACGACCTTCCATGGATCATCATACATCTATATTTACATTCGCATGGCATTGTCACTATATAGCCTCTTTGAAAGCTGTGTCGTTGATGGGACTTTAATTACCATGCATCACGAGACACAATTCTTAGCGTATTAATACAACACTGACCGGAACTACAATATTCAATATAAATAAACATGACGGCTGCTGAAATATCGCTGGGAATTGTGAGATTTGACAATGTCATTGCAAATTTATGTGCAAAATAAAAATAAAAAATAAAAACACTTTTATTACAACGAAAACAAGACCAAGGTCTGCAATATCGTACAAAATGCACATCGGTTGAAATCACCAATGCCGGCAATGGAAACAATTTTAACGCTCATGCAATTTATCAGAAATATCGTCTGTTACACTGCACTGATCAACATGGGTTCGTTACAAATGTCTGAAATACACATATTCTATAGACCTACTGACACATATGTTACAGACCTACTGAAATGAGTCACAGCACACATAAACATTTCATACATTTGTAACGAACTTCAAACGCTATCAGTTTCACGCGTCTCGCATCCACGGTTCCTCAGTTTTTGACGACTAATTTGCTAGCTCCATATATACAGTACATACAGCAATGCACATCGGTCATGGTAAAACGACTACTCAATTTTGTTTTGGTTAAGACCCCTTCGTTATTATTATTAACAATTTACATCACATAGAATGGTGTATATATAAATTAAACTCACTCACTTAAAAATAAATATGATTTTTCACTGTTATTTTGATTTCGATTTAATGATAAAACAGTGGTTATGTGTAAACACATTTAAATCGGCACAGACAGATTTAATAAAGGTATAACTAGTACA